CAGCAGTACATCAACAGGGAACCTTCAGAGATTCAAGCCTTACTGAGAAGAGGACGTGGAACAGGGATATCCTTGCTGATGTCAGATGGATCTTGGCTAAAAACAGAGAATACCAGAAAGATGTTTACCTGTGTTTTATTCACTATGAAAAGGCATTCGACTGTGTGGATTGTAACAAATTATGGATACTATTATGAAGAATGGAAATTCCAGAACACTTAATTGCGCTCATACGGAACCTGAACATAAGGGCAGTCTTTCGAACAGAACAAGGGGTCACTGCGTGATTTAAAATCAGGAAAGGTGTGCGTCAGGATTGTATCCTTTCACCATACTTACTCAATCTGTATACTGAGCAAACAATCCAAGGAACTGGACTACACGAAGAACAACACGGCGTCGGAATTGGAGAAAGACTCGTTAACAACCTGTGATATGCAGATGATACAACCTTGCTTGCTGAAAGTGAAGAGGACTTGAAGCACCTCCTGATGAAGATCAAAGACTACAGCCTTCAGCATGGATTACATCTCAACATAAAGAAAACAAAAATCCTCACAACCGGACCAGTAAGCAACATCATGATAAACGGAGAAAAGATTGACATCGCCAAGGGTTTCATTTTACTTGGATACATAATTAACACCCATGGAAGCAGCAGTCAAGAAATCAAAGGACGCATTGCATTGGGCAAATCTGCTGCAAAAGACCTCACCTCTTTAAAGTGCTGAAAAGCAAAGATAACACCTTGAGGACTAAGGTGCGCCTGACCCAAGCCATGGTGTTTTCAATCGCCTCATATGCATACAAAAGCTGGACAATGAATACGGAAGACTGAAGAAGATGCCTTTGATTTATGGTATTGTTGAAGAATATTGAATATACCATGGTATATTCAGTATTGAATACACCATAATTCAAATGCATCCATTCTTTGGTCAGGCACTGCATCCATTTGTTCAAACTCTCAATTGATATTCCGTCAATTCCCGGGCTCGTTTTTCGTCAGTGCCTTCAGTACAGCTTGGACTTCTTTCTCATACAGTGACTCTGTGTATTTCTTCCACCTCCTTTGATGCTTCCTGCAGGATTTAATATTTTCCCCGTTGAATCCTTCAAATTGCAACTTGAGGCTGGAATTTTTTCTTCGGTTTTTTCGACTTGAGAAATGCTAAGCATTTTCTTCCTTTTTGGTTTTCTAACTCCAGGTCTTTGCACATTTCATTATAACTCTTTACTTTGTCTTCTTGGGCCACAC